TTTGGGTAAATACCAAGGAGCCCGACTGCCAGGCGCACGGGAAGAGGCTGCGGTTTTGTTGGACACTAACTGCCCTTCAGAGCGGCTGCCCCATCTGGCATTCCCACCGGCACTGACCTAGAGCTCCTGCGGCTCTGGGGCTTTACTTTTTTTTTAAGATTTTTATTTATTTATTTGACAGACAGAGATCACAAGCAGGAAGAGCGGCAGGCAGAGAGAGAGGAGGAAGCAGACTTCCTGCTGAGCAGAGAGCCCGATGCGGGGCTCGATTCCAGGACCCTGAGACCATGACCTGAGCCAAAGGCAGAGGCTTAACCCTCTGAGCCACCCAGGGGCCCCTGGGGCTTTACTTTTATTATAATAATAATTATTTTTAAAGATTTTATTTACTTATTTGACAGAGAGATAGAGAGCACAAGTAGGCAGAGCAGCAGAGGGAGAGGGAGAAGCAGGCTCCCCATGGAGCAGGGAGCCTGATGCGGGACTTGATCCCAGGACTCCAGGGTCATGACCCGAGCTGAAGGCAGCTGCTTAACTGACTGAGCCACACAGGCACCCACTTTTATTATTATTATGTTTTATTTTTACTTTATTTATTTTCTTAAAGATTTTATTTGACAGAGAGAGATCACAAGTAGGCAGAGAGGCAGGCAGAGATGGATGGCGGGGAGCAGGCTCCCCACTGAGCAGAGAGCCCGATGCGGGACTTGATCCCAGGACCCCAGAATCACGACCTGAGCTGAAGGCAGACGCTCAACTGACTGAGCCACCCAGGCGGCCCTATTTTTATTTTTACTTTTTCTTGCCATGAGAGTGTGTTTACTGTACAGAAGCAGGCTTTCCTGGTCGCAGGGAGCTCTGGGGGACCATGACTCTGGCAGCTGAGCTCCATGGGTGGCACTGTGGGCTCGTCTTACTTTGGGCTCCCAGTGGGGGGCAGGGGGATGGGTCAATGGACACACAGGCAGATGGCCACCGGCCACCCACCAGCCACCCACCGGCCAGTGACAGGGGAAGCTGGGAAAGCAGGCTGGTGGAGGGCCGGAAAGCAGGACCTCAGGCCCTGGTTTGGCTTTGTGACAGATCACCTCATGGGGCTGGCAGGCTCCTGCTGTGTGGGTGCCACTGACCTCAGCACATGAGGGGAGTGCTCCAGAGTCAGCGCTCAGGAAGGAGAGGCAGCACCATCCTGCCTGCTCCCACCAGGGTCCCTCCACTGGAAGGTGGCCCTTGGGCGTGGAGCCCGTCCCCTGCTCAGCGAGTCCCGCAGAAGAGCAGGGCCACTGCTCGCAGAGCGGATGGGAGGTACCCTGCTCGGGGTCTCCAAGAGTGGGCCAGGGGGCCCACGCTGGGAACCAGTCCTCATCTCAGCAGATGCTTGCCGGACACCTGCTGACTGTCCAACGGCGACCATGCAGGGCACAGGTGCTCAGCCAGCAACGGGGTAGGCTGGGAGTGTTGGGGGAGGTGCAGACGGGGGCGCCTGTGAGGGTGCTGGGTGCTCAGCGCCCCCTGCATGCTGACCACAGGCAGCCCACTCCTACTTGCCCATCTCTGCCCAGGTTAATCTCCTGGACAAACGTGTTGGTTTTGGAATAAATCAGGACACAAAAGAGGTCTGTTCCCATGGAGCTCACAGTCTCGTAGGAAAGGCAGGTAGCAATGCTCGCCTGACCCAGAATGTTTAGTCAAGCTCTAAGGGGACAGGGGACAGGACACACAGGGGTGAAGGAGAAAGTGACCCTTGGACTTGCGAGGCAACGCGCCTGAATCGTTCAGAAAATCGGTGTAAGGGAAAACGCGAAGGACTCTCCACGTTAAAAGTAGAGACCTGACAACCAGCCCAAGTGTGACCGGCTGCGTCTGGGGTTGGATGCGGTCGCGGGAGGCACTGGGACGCCAGGCCGGGAGGAGCACGGCGTGCAACGCGGCTCCCCTGCCCCGGTAAGGAGGATGCTCCCATAAGGGGACGTTTTTGCTTTTCCAAGACGCGCTGAGCAGCTCATCTGCGTCGACTTTCCCGACTTGGCACTCGGCGGCCACTAAACCCACAGGGGGAAAAGGTGCAGCCGTGTGGGAAGACGGAAGGAGCCGGCCGGGCTGGCAAATGTCGGCCATCCTCAAACCCAGGGCTTGTGCGGGTGCTCCCTGTGCTGTGTGCAAAGGCTCAAGTGTTTTTAAATAAAACGTCAGAAAATGATCACTACTGAGCTGTGATTGATCAGCTGCGATGGGGATCAGGGAGGCAGCCATGGGGTGGCGGGGAGCAGCAGCCGCTTATTCCAGAAGCAGAGGGCTCCCCGGGGCAGGGGCAAGTCAGCCAAAGCCTGCAGTGGGTAGGATGTGGAGGACCCTGGAAAACCCCAGGGGTGGCCAGTGTGGCAGGTGCAGGGCCAGAGGGTGGTCAGGTGGGCCGTGGGCAGGGTGGGGAACGCTCCTAGGACCCACCCGCCCCCGCCCCCTTCTGGTAGCTGTTCCCTGTATTGGGGAGTGCTCCCGACCCCACTCTGGCCGCGGGCCCCCTAGCTGCCACCAGAGAGTATGGGGTCGGTGGCATTAGCGAGAGCAGGGCTCAGAGGCTCTGGTCTCTGCTCCGTAGCAACAGCCGCTCTAGATAGTGAGGCTCTCCAAGGGGACAGGCCTATCACTCTGGAGCTGTGTCTGCCCGTGTCCGGCCTTCCCCAAGGCACTCCATGTCCCTTTCAGGATGGCTGTCTTGAATCCTTCCCTTCCAGTGAGCGGCCTGTGGGCACTTGCAGCCGGAGCTGAGGCGAGCGGACACGGGAAGGGTTTGAGCAGGGGGCAGGGGGCCCGGAGGGGCATCCACAATTCCTACCCCCCACCACAGCGTCACAGCCAGCAGTGTAGCCGATGGCTAAAGGTGGGGTGCAGCCCTGCGGCTCCACTCACGGGTTCAAGACCACGTGAAGCCAGTCCCTGGTGGCAGAGGCAGAGGTGGCTGCAGGGAACGGGGATGGGCGCGTGACATCACAGAGCCTAGTGCACTTGCATCGGGGCGATTCACTGCTCCTCAGCTCAAACGGATCGGGCGAGTGGCTGATGACCCCCGACTAAGAAGGCATCTGTAGTCCCAGGACCCTGAAACATCTTGATCCTGTCCAGAATCCCCCACCTGATGGTCCCGATGGGTCCCTGTGATCGGCCCAGCTTGGGAGGTGACCAGGTGAGGATGCCAGCGGGTAGGGGCCGTGGGGACAGAGACATTGCCCCAACATCTGGTTGCATCTGGTCCTGGGCTAGGGTCTCTACCCTCTTCCTCGTGCTGTCCACTGCTTCTCGGGCTGGTGCTCTGGGGCCCCGTGCTCTCACGGTTGGGGGAGAGGGGGGCGGTCAGGGGGGCGTGTCTGACCGCCGGCAGCTCACAGGGGACCCCCTTCTTGTCCCTCTGACAGCTGCTCCGGCCCCACTTCTGACCCAAGTCACTTGTCAAACCAAAGTTTCGCTTTCCCGGATTCGCTGCCACATTTCTGGTCTCACACCTGTCGTGTATTCATTCCTTCTGCTGCTTTGCCTCATGTGTTTTTTCTAGTTCCTTCCAGTGGGCAGTGAGGTGAAGAGAACTCCTGGACCGCACACGCTCGCAGCTGTCCCGTGTCCTCGCGACGCTGCACTCGCAGCACCTCTGAAGCGCGCCGCCGCGTCTCGTGGTAGCTCCTGATTTCACCTGCGATTCCTTCTCCCACCCCCAGGCTGTCCAGTGCTTAACTTTACCTCCTGTTACTGTTCCCTGAAACGGGACACATTGTTGCAGCGGCGCTGTTAGCAAACCCGAGCTTCATTTCTCGTGCTCAGGGACGGGCTTGGCACACGGTTGGTTTCCATTTCTGCGCCGGGGCTCAGCTCCCGAGCGCGTCCGCGGTCCGCTTGTCTGAAGTGGTGCGCGCGACACGCAGGGGACGACGTGACCGATGGGTGTAGGTGGCAGCTGAGAAGACAGCACTCCCCTTGAGGAGCCGAACGTCACTGGCACCTCCCCCGTCCCCAAGTGCACCCCTGTGCCACCCCGCAGGGAAGCGGCGTGGGCAGCCCATCCACGCCCCCGCCTTCTTCCTGACCCGCGGCGCGGACGTGCGACCCCTGGGAAACCCGTGTGGTGTGAAGCTGTACTGAGGCGCGTGCACTTCCGCATCCTGCTCCCTCGCTGCGTGCTCCCCACCGCACTGTGCTCCCCGTTCCCCTGCTGTCCTGTCGTAGCCTGGGTCCACCCTCCTGTGGGTGAACGCTGGCTCATCTCCGGATTTCTCCGTCGTGCCCAGCAGCACCCAGGAGGACGTCCACAGACCACAGCATGTGCGGCACCCGTTCTTGGCTTCCCCCCAGCCCCAGCCCGGCTCTGGATGACGGACAGAACTCCGGACAGGCCCTACTCATCCCTGGGCCTCCTTGTCCGCCCCTCCCCCGATCCCAGCCAGCACTGAGAGCGTGCTTCTGCCCCCTCAGCCAGGCTGCAAAGGCACAAAGGTCCACATCTGGGGTCCCCAGTTGTCAGTGGGTAAAGCCACTCAGGCCTGCCTGCCCTGGACCCCACCCCCTGAGCTTCCAGTGCCCTATGGGCACCCCCCTTTCCTCCCTGAAAGGCGTATCAGCCTCTCCTGCTGGGCCAGGAGGGAAAGGCCACCCAGGCAGCTGGTACACAGCTGGAGGGGGCTGTGCAGGCCCGGGAGCCCAGGGCCACCCTCCATGGGCCTCCTGGAGCTGCTGTCTGGAGCCAGCCCAGCCTTCAGCCCTGGTCCCTCCAGAGGCCCCTGACTCGACAGCTGGCTCCCTGCCCCAGGCACACCCACACAAGGTGACAGGGTGGCAGATGTGTCTCCTGGCTCTAGTGACACTTCACAAAATAGTTCTCTGGCAGAAGCCAACTTGGAAAATTCCAGAGACAGGGAAATTTACCATGAGGCGGGAACAGCTGGGTCTGGGCTAGGAACAGAGCCCCGCCCACGTGGGGAACGCAGGCCGGCACGAAGGAGGGACCCGGCAGGCCCGCGGTGAGGGAGTCCTTTAATAGAGATGGGCAGACATGGGACACAACTTGGCCCTGGGCCAGTGGGGGCAGTGGCTCCTCCTCCCCCACCTGGCTTGGCCTCAGAGTGGACACGGGAAAGGCAGTTTTAAAAAACACAGCGGGACTGATTCTTCACTTTCACGGAAAAGGGGACCTCGGAGGAGCAGCCCGCTGGAGAATCTGTACACAGAGCGGGTCTCCGCGCCCAGCCCTTTGGGCCGAAGCCTGCGGCCACCCCACCCCCGCTGGAGGGACGGGCCATCCACACCCGCAGTGTCCCTGCGTTATGTACATCGTTGTGCTTTCGAGCGCCCCGCCCTGAAGCCTTAGCCTGGAGCCTCCAGTGGGAAGAGGGTCCCACTCCCACTGCGAGCTCGGACTCAGGAGAGAGTAGCCCTGCTCCTCGCCCGTGAGCAAAGGGCTCGTTGAGACAGAAGGGTCAGTGCTGGACAAGATGCAGGCTGGTGGGAGCAGGCAGGACCGGGGGCACCGGGGCAAAGCGTGAGGCCAGGGTAGCAGGTGTGTGTGGGCGGGGCAAAGCTGGGGTGGGGGTGGGGCCAGGCGGTGGCTTGGGGCGGGGCTGAGCATCTAGTAGAACCCCATTCCCCACTGGAGAGGGGGGCTCGGGGGTCCACCCGCGGCCCCCTCCCACCCAGCGCAGATGCTTCCAGTGTCAGGGGCCAGGCGGCTGGCCCGGCCCTGGCTCTGGGTCCACAGGTGGGGAGGGGCGGGGCACGGTGATGTCTGCTGGCGCGACCCCGCTGGCTGGGTGGGGTCTACAGGATCAGTTGTTCTCGAAGAGAGAGAGCAGGTCGTCATTGTTGTTTGTGGGGAGGTCAGGCGGGCCCAGGTAGGACAGCAGTTCCTCCGGGTTGGTCAGTTCTGGGAGCAGCTGGGGACAAAGCAAAGCCATCAGCGGCTCTGGCCTCGGACCCACCACAGCCCTGCACGGGACCCTGACCCTCAGCCTGCACAGAGCCTCCCCCTGCCGGAGGCCGCTCTTGGAGCAGGAATCATTGCACATGGGTTGTCCAAGGCCAGCCAGGGACGCGTGGTGCCGGCAGGGCCAGTGCAGGGGGTGGGCTCGCTGGCGCTCGCGACCCACTATTCGGAGCGGCTCTAACTTCCCTCAGCATGAACTTCAGGGAGTTTGGGTTATTCAGGTTGAGGACAGTTACCTGCGTTTCACACACTGATTCTGGCTCACCCAGCAAGGGGCGTTGGACAGGCCAGCCCGCACCCCGAGCCAGTGTGGTCAGTTCCAAGCCCAGTCTTCTTGGGCGCTCGACAGTTCCCAGAGCCAACCCTGCGGCTACGGCAGGTGCCCGACCTCCTCGCCGGGGCTGATACTACCTGCCCAGCTCTCCTGGCTCTGGAAGTCACTGGGGCGGCGGCGTTCTCCCTTCTATGAAGCATGTGGACCCTGGGGACGATGTGCATGCCATCCTCCCCAGCCCCAGCTCCCACGTGCTCCCCAGCATGGGGCCCGTACTCACATCCAGGGCTGGTTCCGGGGCCTCCCCCGCCCCAGACATGGGGGGCCCCATCACGCCTGTGGCCGCACTGAAGGCCAGCTCGCCGATGGGGCCCGAGCTCCCTGGGCCCAGGGGCTGCCGGGATGCTGGGGGAGGGTTTGGATGGTGCAGCTGGGGCCCTGGGGGCCCCCCAAGGCTGGGAGCATGCAGCCCCTGTGGCCCGGGGTTGTGGGACGGGTCCAGGTGACCCGCTGGTGCCATCTGAGGAAGGAGGGAAGAACCTGGTCAGATGGCCCTGGGCCCCCCTCCCTGGAAGCTGACCCCCCGACCCTCTGCCGGCACTGACCTGCCCTGGGAGACAGGGGGCAGACTTCTCTGGTGTCAGGAGGCTGCTGGGAAGGTCAGACTGATAGGAGCTGGGGGGCAGCCCTGTGGTGAACTCAGGAAGGGCCGGGGTGCTGGGTGTGGCGGGCGGGTAGGAGTCAGGGAAGGTCCCAGGTCCCAGGAAGCTGGAACCTGAGAGTAGAGCCGGTCCTGGGTGAGGCCTGGGAGCTCGCGCTGGTGGAGTGGTCCGGGGAGGGGGGACCCCAGTGGTCTCCCGCAGGTAGTGCCAGACCTCACAGGAAAGGGCCCTTCTCATCACAGACGTTGCTCTGAGACCCGCCTCACCCAAATACACCCACACGTGCGGTCAGAGAGGCCCCAGAAGCAAGCTGGCAGAAGGTCCCTGCTCCTCAGCTACCGCCCACCCCCACGGCCACGTCCCCAGGAGGCCCCAGGTGCGGGACCCGCGTGGTGGCGCTGCAGTGGTCTGAAGAGGACGGACCGTTTGCCCGCAGCAGCTGCGTCCCCGGGCCCAGCCCGCCGTACTCACCCTGGCCAGGGTAGTCGCCAGGGGCCGGGGCCGAGGGGGGCTGCAGGGGGGCGAACGGGGCGGCCCCGGGGCCCAGGGCCGCGATCATCTCCATGACGCTGGGCATGAGCACGTGCGCGGGGCTCACGGTGCGGCAGCGTTTCAGCACGGGCCCATCGGGTTCCTCCTTGATGTGCACGTCGGGCTTCACAGGCACCGGCTTCCAGCTGCACGTGGGGTCGATGGTGATCTCCTCGTAGTCAGAGCTGGCCGGGGACACGTGCGCTACTCACCCGCTGTCCTGCTGCCTCTCCCGGCCTCCAAGACTCGTGGCCACCCGGCACGTTCCATGGGCCCAGGGAGGGGGGGAGGCTGTGGGTTCCGGCCATGGCAGAGCAGCGGGGTGGGGGGCGCCTCCCAGCCATCCTGGAGCTGCCCGCTGCTAACCGCCGCCTGAGCGAGGGGCGGACACTTACTTCTGAATGTAAATGAGAATCCCCAGCATGTACTGGTCCACCTCCAGCCCCTCCAGCAACGCCGTCTTGCTGTCGGAAACCAAGAGGATGGGGCTAGGAGGCCTGTCACTGCTCCGCTCCGTCACTGTGCCCGAGGCCAGCCCGTGGGAGGTGACCCCTCAGGAAGGGGATCCCGCGTGTGACGTCTCTGCCCTGAGCCACAGCGTCCTCGTCTGGGCTGCGACCACCGAACCTGACTTAGGTATTTCCTGGTGCTGCGGGGGGAGCGGATGGCTTCTGACAAGGACCACCCTGCACCCTGGGCCGCCGTGAGGGCGTCTCAGGGATACTCACTTGCACACGGGGCATCTCCAGGTCCCCCGCTCACAGTTGAGCTGTAGGTAGGACTCTAGGTCGAAGCACTGTTGGGGGCAGGAGAGGTGGCTTCTCACACGGGGGCCGGGAGTGACCTGGCCGCACCCCACGATCGAGCCACGTGCTTCTGGGCTGATCTGCTCGCGTGTGGAGAAGCCACACGTGCCAGGCTTTTCCCAGGGCGCCCTTCCTAACAGACAGTCCTCACGGGGACTGGGATGCCACGAGGCCAAAGGCCTGGGCATCTGTGCTGAAGGGCCGCGTCCAGGACGCAGTGTCCAAGGAGACCCCGTGGCGGAGCGTCGGGGATCCAAGGGGTCCTCCTGGGGCCTCGGGAGGGCCGCACCCGCGGCCTCGTCGCCTTTTGAGAGGAAACCCCGCGAATGCAGGGGAGCGGACTGTCCTCGGAGACAGGGGAGGGCGCGACAGAGAACCACGGTCACAAGTCCCAGCAGAGCTCCACAGGGACCACCCACCTGGATGTGGCGGCAGTCGTGGCCGCGGGCGGGGAGCTGGATCCTGCGGAAGGTGATGGGGCACTTGAGGGACACCTTGATGGCCGTCTGCTCCACGCCGTCCTCGCCGTTGGGCCCGGGCGCGCCGGGGACGGTTCCGCTGCTGAAGTCGCGCTTTACTGGTGTCGACAGGGCAGAGGCTAGATGCAGGGGCTGCCGCTGGCACCACAGCCCCAAGGACCATGTGGGCCGCCCACTGTCCCCCCGGCCCCCCGGCAGGGCCACTCACTCTTGCTGACACAGTGCTCGGCAGGCAGGAGGCGCTTCTTGAGCAAGCCCTGCAGCACGGCGCGCACGGCCGGCCGGTGCACCAGCTGCAGCACGAACAGGTGCGACTGCGGCGGGAGGGGCCGGTCAGGACTGCGGCCGGGAGCTTCCCCTGCTCTGGAGCCCCCATGCCGCGGGCCAGCCACCGCCAGGGAGAACGCCGGCATCTGGGAGCCCCTGGCCTACGGCAGCCCCGTGACCCCCCCCAGAGCCGGCTGGGGCGCGCCCGGCTGCCCCCTTCACCCCGGTGAGTCCCAGCGAGGCTTTCGGGATGGGCAGCTGGGGGGGGGGCCTGCTGAGCCTCCTTGTGCGGAGATGGGGTCAGCAGGAACGCCCCGTCCGCCTACGCGGGCCTCGTCGGGAAGCAGGGAGGCGGCTCCACGCTGTGGGGCCGGGAGATGAGACGCGGGGGGGGGGGGGGGGCGGGGGGGGGGGGGGGGACGGGGGGGGCACTCACGCAGCAGCAGGCTGTGACCGTGATCTGGATGGTGTTGCGGCCCGGCTGGCACACATGCTTCAGGTACAGGGGCTTGTGGGAGGTCTTGTTGTCGCCGCGCTCGATGGTGAGCGGGGTGGCGTTGACGCTGACCTGCACCGAGGCCGGCCAGTTGGTGTTCATCTGCCGGTCCTCGTGGTGGTAGCACTTGAACTGCAGCTCCAGGTCAGGCCTGCGCGGGCCGGGCGCACAGTGAGGACAGGCCGGCGGGGACGCGGGGACGGGGTTGGGGCCACACGCCGGGCCGGCGCCAGCTCACCTCAGCATTAGGGTCTTGTAGACGGAGTCGCGCAGCTGGAAGGCGTGGTTGCTCACGGCCAGGTTGTGCTGCAGGCGGAAGGGTTCCAGGACCACCCCATCGCGCACGGGGAAGGTCAGCCGCAGCTCGTCACAGGGGCCGCTGCCTGGGAGCGGGCCATGCTGGCGTGAGCCAGCAGCTGGCACGGAGGACACCCCCCCCCCCGCACCCCTTACCGCAGGGATGTGGGCCAGGGAGCAGGGCCCCTCCTCCCCCACCTCGGGGCTGGGCTGTGGGCAGCATCTCCCCCAGGGCCCCAGGATCTTGGGATCCCGCTGTTCCATCCTGCCTCAGGCACCTGGCCCAGGGTCCCCTAAATTATGACTGGAGAACGTGCCCCAGACCCAGTAAAAGAGGGTGCCGCTGGTGCTTTCGGGAGGGGTGGGAGGCTGCGGAGGTGTGAATGGACCCCCATCACCATCCCCACGCTTGAGCTAGGTTTCTAGGACCTCAGGTTCTGCTCTGGCGGTCTACCCCGGACCAGGGGGTCCCTAGCCGGGAGAAGACTTCAAGGGACGCAGAGACCCCCTAAAATGATCCAGAGTTTCGTGTGCACGCGTGTCTTTCTAGAGAGAAGATCCACACCTTGAAAAATCCACTAAGACGTCTATGGGTGAAAGATGGGGGTGTGGGCCCCCAATCTCCATGTCCCCAGAGGACCCCAGCCCAAGCAAGCTGAGAACAGGCGACACTCACTGGGGGGTGATGGGTGCAAGGAGCTCACACTGGGCTTGAGGTCGGGCAGGAAGGGAGACTTGACCTCCTGGCTGGCGGACATGTAGGGGACGCTGCTGCCAGGCGTCATGGGCGGCGTGGGGCTCCCCGGCAGTGGGGAGCTGGGGTAGCCAGGGATGGAACGGGCGGACTGTGGGGTCGAGCAAACGGTCAAGGTGGAATGGTGGGGGGCGGGGTTTGTTCTTGGAGTGCCCGCCGGAACAGTGAGGACAGAAGAGAGCGGGGGCAGTCCCAGGGGGCTCTGGTTGGGCACCCCCAATTTCCTCCTGCTTGGGTGCCCTCTCTCCATGGGCCCACCCCGTGAGCCTCCCGCCCGTCTGCCCGTACCCCACTCAGGCCAGGCTGGCTGTAGCTGACGCTCCCCCCGTTGAAGCTGGCGCCCTGCCCGTTGAACTGCTCTGTGGGCTGCAGGAGAGAAAAGTGCATGCGCCCAGGGCCCCGGCCTGGCCCCCGCACTTAACCCTAGGAGGGGGCTGGGGGCAGGACGCCCACCGCACACAGGGGCACTGGCCTCTAGTCTCTTCTTTGGACGCTCTCTTCCTTCGGCAAGTAATCAACAAGGGGCTCACAGTAATTTACGACATCACTACTCCAGGAACGGAGATAGACTACTCACCCCCCCCAAGTTAGAAGGGTCGCAGGAGAGCCAGGGAGAGGACAAAAAAACACACCTCCTCCTCCCCACATGCCCCCGATGGGCCCGTCCCCAGCAAGCAGAGGGTATGTGGTCACTGTTCCCTAAAAAACATTCAAGTGGCCTGGGGGCCTGCCCACCACCCGCTCCCTACAGCGATTTTCTGAGCAGATACACATATCCTGCAGAGGATCCTTTCAGAACTGGATCCCTGCACTGCTTGGGACCCCCGCGGAGCTCCGGGCTGCCCGCTCACTCTCATTCCTCCGGGCCAGCTCCCTTGTCAGCCTGGCTAGGGCCCAGCACAGGGCCCCGCGGGGTGCGGTGGGCCAGAGGGCCCAACCCTACCTTGTAGTGCAATCCTGCAGGGCCGGCGGCTGGCAGGGCCTGGGCCACACTCTGCTGCAGGGGCAGCCGGTGCCCAGGGTAGGAGGAAGGGGTGGGAGGCTGCCCAGCGCCAGGTGCATACTGGCTTCCGGGCAGGTTCTGCTGCCCGGGGTAAACCTGAGGGACAGAAGGGGCGCTGTGCTAGGGCAACGGCTGTTGGGGAAGCCAGCTCCCAGGGAGGACGCGGCGCCCACCCCATCAGGCGTGGCCGCTTCCCTCCCGCGGACGACCGCACCCGCCGCGGCTCTGGGTGCAGCTGGGACGAGGGCGGTCCGGACGCTCACCTCACTGGAGTAGGCCCTCTTGAGCCCCTGTCGGGGCAGCGGCTGGGCCTGGGGAGGCCCGGGGTACCCGTGCTGGGGCAGGCGCTGCCCTGCATACAGGGGTGCCATGCCTGTTGCCCGGGTGGGGTTCATGCCCATGGGGCTCATGCCAGAGGGGCCCAGCAGCCCTCCCACGGCGGCAGGGTTCATACTGCTGGGGACGCTGGGCCCCCGGGGACCTCCGTGCTGCAGGAACTGGTTGTTAAAAGCCTGCCCAGCCCCCATCTGGGAAGAGAAGACAGGAGCCATTCAGGCCAACCCCCAACCTTGGGCGCCACCCAGGGACCCCCACCGTGCCTCCCCCCTGCCCCCCACTTTATCTCACTACACACCCGTCCCCAGACCCTGACCCTGGTTGCCCAACCGGTCCCTGCTTTCCAGACCAGCACATGTGGGCGCTCCGGGGGGAGCGGCCAAGCCTCACCGCTCCGTACTGGCTCAGCTCCTGGCTCTGCTTCTCCTGGAGGGCGGCCACGGTGGCCGTGGCGGTGGCCGTGGCTGTGGCCGCAGCAGCAGCCACCGCGGCCGCCGCCGCCGCCTGGGTGAAATCGGTGGAGGGTCGTGTGGCATGTGAGGGCAGACCCAGGCCCCCGGGCCCCCCCGGACCGCCCGCATACCTGCGGGAGACACACAGGGCCGGGCTCAGCAGAGCTGGCTGCCCATCACCTGGGGGGAGCCACACGGTAGTTCCTGGGGCTCTGCTCGCGTGCACACAGCCCTGGGGGGGCCCCCAGCAGCGCAGCCAGGGAAGGGTCCTGCTTACCCAGCGGAGAAGCCGGGGCCGCCAGGGTAGCCCCCGCGGCCGTACACCCCCTGCGGCACGAAGCCCTTGCTGGTGGTGCCGTCAGCAAACGCCTGCTGTCCAAGGCACTGTGGGGAGCTCAGGGCAGAGCCGCTGCCAGCCACGCCGGGCATCACAGAGCCGCCGGGGGGGCTCCCTGCAGGGCCCATGGGGTTCCCCAAAACCTACGGGGAACAAGAACCACCGGTGAGCACCACCCACACAACTTACTTCATGCGGTCGCTCCAAGAAGAGGCCTGGTGGCGGGGGCGGGGGTGGGGGGTGGGGGTGAGGCAAGGGGGCAGAGGTGAGGGGAGGAGAGCAGGGGTGGGATGCAGGGCGGGAGCGGCATGAAGGCCAGAAGACTCCATTTCTCCCTGAGGTCCGGGGGGGGGCCCCCAGGCGCGGGCTCACCTGGCTCTGGGCCGCGTTGCCGACGCCCCACACGGTCGTGACCACGGACAGCGATCCTGCAGGCTGAGTGGCGCTCTGTTGCCAAGGCACTGCCTCGTAAGCAAACGGACCATCACTGCGAGCAGAGAGACGGGTCAGAGGCCCGGGTCAGGAGCGCCCTGCTGGGGAGGCTGAGCGCGGGAGCAGCAAGGTCCCGCCCCGCCACCAGGCCCGCACCCCTGCGGCCTGAGGAGGGAGCGCAGCAGGAGCCCCACTCACCCGTGTGGCGTGGGGGGCAGGGCGGGTTTCACGGGGTGCATGGGGTTCATTGGCTTTGGAGCAGCCTAAAGGCCAGGTCTGTAGGTGGCAGGAAGTGGTCCTCACTGCTGGTGACGTGGGACTCAGCTGCTCTGGCTGCCAGGACAGGAGGGAGGACATCAGCGGAGAGCAGCTGGGGGCTGTCGGCAGCCTGCAGGGAGCCCTGAGCACCAGGCCCCCCGGCGCTGTGCTGCCAGAGGGAGGGCAGGGTGACACCGGCGTCTGAGGGCCACCTTGCCCTGCGCTGCCCGCCCTGCCCATCCTCTGCCTGCCTCAGCCCCAAACCCCAGCCTGGAAGCCAGCATTAACCCTTTCTGGCCAGGACCTGGACCAGCTCTGGGAGCAGGCTTTCTGAACCCCAATACCTTCCACGCTCGCCCTCCCACACAAAGGCCTGGATATCTGTAAGAGTCAGGGAGCATCTGGGACCCGATTGCCCGAAGCCCCCAAGAAAGCGCCAGGGGGCAGTTCAAGGCCAGAGCCAGGGAGGAGGCTGGAGAGGAGCACCCGGGGGCACCATCTGCTCACGCTCCGAGGCCTGCCTGCTGCAGAAGGAGCGCTGGTAACCGGGGGGAGCGAGCTCAGCCGCCCTCCGCCCTCCCCACTGCCCAGGATGGCACGCTGCTGCTACAGCAAGTCCCCCAAGGGCTGCTCTGGGGTCCAAGGGTGCCATCTGGGACTGGTGTGGGCACAAGGCCAGGCAGGCAGACCTGACTCACCGGACAGGGTTCCCAAAAGGGGAGGGATCCACACACAGAGCCAAGGGCGGAGGGCTGACAGGTGCCCGTGGACATGGCAAGGGGCCAATGGGAACACAGCAGCAGGGCCAGTGGATGCTTGCAGGACCCGTGTGCCCTGCCTGGGGCTTTCTCCTACCCCGTGAGGCTCACTCTCTCCCATTTACTGTCTCAGAAAAACCAGTGACGGAGGGCTAGGCCACTCACATCCTCCAACACCCCCAAAAGCAAGTCCAGACCCTTGCTGGCACGGCTGGGGCCACGTCCATACGTGCTTCTGCCTGGTCTCAGCACAGACACAGGCTGGCGATGGTCCTCAGGGGGTACCCTGGGGGTCCTGGGTGGGGACCTCTGGACGTTGACGTTCTGTCCCAGAGCACCGCTGCCTTTCTGGGGCTGCGAGGCCTCACACACGCACACAGACACATCACCTGGGCCAGGCTAACCTCCGATGTCTCAGTCCTGCCGCCTCGGCACTCTCAGGGCGTCCTTCAGGCCCAGGAGTGAGAAAGTGGCTCCAGCACCCACCCGGCCCCGAGACTCACATTCCTGAGTGCTGCCCAGGCACCTCCAGAAGGTCACGTCCTCTGGAAATACAGCCCTGGAGGGGCGTGGGGGGTGGGTCCCTCAGTGGGGACCTGGGGGAGAAGGGGTGCAGTGGGGACTGCGATCCGGAGCCTCCCCCACCGAGCACGGAGGTACGTGTGTCCTGGAGTTGCAGCGTGGCTGGGCCCGGGCCGGGTGAGGGGAGGGAGAGACAAGTGGGCTTGCTCACCTCACAGCTGGCTCTGCTTCCCTTCCCCGCCAGACCAGGCCCCATTCAGGAAACAGGGGCCAGAAAAAGCAGGGGTCAGTGGGTCCGGAAGGCTCTAGACCCCTGGACTCTGGGCAGAGGCAAGCGTGGGAGCCAGGACATGACCAGGCAAGGGAAGACTGGTCCCTACGGGTCCAACTCCAGGATGGGGATGGGGGTGGGAGGTACGGATGGACAGACCTGCCAGTAGGTCAGTGGAACAGACCAGAGAACCAGCTGGTCTCTGACGAAGGTACAGAAAACATGCACTGGAGGAAACCTGCCATTTCAACACGAGGTGCCAGAGACGCTGGACTCCCGCGCAAAACACAAAGCAAAACCAAACCCTAATCTTCCCGTCGCGCATAGAAATCAACTCAAAATGTGCCACAGATTCAAATGTCCAGCACAAAGTTGTAAACCCTTTGGAAACACCCCGGAGAGAATCTTCGGGATCCAGAGCCGAGAGCCCTCCCACAACACACCGAAAGCACACGTCCTAGAAGAGCAAACAGAGAGCCTGTCTGCAGAGCCCAGACGGGATGAAGCTACGGACCGGACCGGGCGCTGCCTTCGAGAGCCACGTCCCTGACAAAGCGTTAGCATCTAGAATATATAAACAATTCTCAAAACTCAAAACTCAAGAAACCCCAGAAACCCACCCAGAAACTGGGCAGAAGAACAGACATTTCACCGATGAGGCGGTAGGGACAGTGAGTCAGTGCTCAGGGCCGGGGTCCAATCCACGGAGCCGGGGTCCCACATCAGGGGCATCAGGCACGGGCAGAGTAACCACTGGGAGCCCTGGCTGCACCCCCCTCGGAGCCGCTAGGACAATGCCAGCGCCGGCCGGGCAAGGGGACCCGGACCTCGTCCCCACGGTGGCTGGGAACAGACCGGGGGCAGCCGCTCTGGACCACAGTTCCGTGGCTTCCCGTAAAACAAAGCACGCAGCCACCCCATGAACCAGAGATAGCACTTCTGAACATTCATCTCCGAGAACTGTAAACGTCCGGTCACAGGAGAACCTGTGTGTACGTGCTGCCAGCAGCCCGCAGGGATCTCGGGGGACCATGCTGTGTGGGAAACGCCAGTCCCGGGAGGTTCCACACGTAGGGTTCCCTTTACGTAACACTCCCGAGATGACAGAATCCCAGAACCAGAGCGCAGAGCGCGCCGCCAGGTGGGGAGGAGGGAGACAGGTGTGAACACAAGGTGGGGAAGGCCGTGTCTGTATCTCAGCTGGCGCCACCTGGCCTCCTGCTGGGACATGTCCTACAGCTCTGTAAGATGGCATCACCAGGGAAGCCAGGTAAAGGACACGGGGTTGTTTTTTTACAGCCACACGTGAATCCAAAATTCCCCCAAAATTAAACTTCAGAGAAGGAACCGCCACCGCCCGGCCCGCTGTCTCCATAGGGAGGCCCATGGCAACCATCCCTCCCCCCAAGCTGGAGGGCCTGGCTGGGCCCGCTCTGGTCCCACAGGCAGCGGCCAGAGTCCCTGGGGCTGGAGGGCTCCGCTCCGAGCTCCCGCTTCCCCAGCGTGGCCTCCGGGACTTCAGCCTCACCTGCAGGGCTGGAGCCTGAAGACCACATTTCTAATGGGTCCATGGGCAAGGATGCTGCTGATACAGGCGCCCCAGTGTGAGAGCCGGGGGGGGGGGGGGGGGGGGGGGGCGGGGACTCCAGGGGCCTGGGGTCCCCGGCAGACTCCTACGTCCCATGGGTCGGGGGAATTCCACCCCCAAGACTTCTTTGTTGTGAACGAGACCACAGATGTTTCCAGTTCCCCGAGTTGACTGCGAGTTGACTGTGTGGCTGTATGGGTGTGTATGGGTGTGTGTGTGACTTCCTGCCAGGCCAAGTCTGTCTCCTCCCTGAGAAGACCTACACTCTCCGTGACCCTCTGCTCCTGACAGAGGGAGAGGGGAGGTCTGAGCGCAGACCCTCTTCTCACTTCCAGGCCTGGAAGGCAGAGCTGGGAAAGCCCAGGTGTGTGTGTGTGTGCGTGCAAGGAGGCCTGAGCAGGCCTCTGGGGGCTTCTGGCGGCCAGAGGCTCTCCTGTACGCAGCTCCAGCAGGAAGCCAGGACCCCTGGGCAGAACCCGGCATACTTAGAAGGCCCCACGGCTTTCTGTGGGTCAGGTCACATCTTCCTCCAGAAAAAGAGCTATAGAAAACTCACTACTCCGACCCCTCTTTCCCAGGGGCTCAGAGCAGCTACACCCAGTCTCCTGCGTCCCAACGAGAGGCAGACCTTAATGTGGGTCACCCCTCTTCCACCTCCACTCCGTCCCTGCTGCCTGGTCACCCAGGAGCAGCACACCCCATGACAAGCCACCTGACCTCAGGAGGACAGGCCTACTCCACAGTCCCAGAGCAGGGACGCTGGCAGCAGGGAGCCCGTGGTTCCAGGGAAAGTCTCCGACCAGAGGGACACCGGAGCCTGGGCTCCACTGGGTTCTGAGAGGGTGGAAATGATGGCTCCAGGGAGGCAGGACGACACAAGGCGGCGACTCACATGCTCAGGGAGCTGAAGTCCTGACGCTCTCCATGTGAGGTCACAACACTCATCCCAAACCCCCACGAATGAGTATCTACCCACAGACCAGATGCGGGACACTTCAGAGAGCAGCTAGAGCATTTCACTGCTCCAAGCCTCAGTTTACAATGTGTACAACGGGTACCTGGTGCCACTCTGGGACTGAGGAAAGGGGAGGACACATGCCCACCTTTACACTCTCAGCCCTGACCCCTGTAGTGGGGGCAGCTACCGCTGGACGCTTCAGGGGGAGGCCTGGCTGCCTGGTCTTCATTACCTTCCTCTCCACCCTGACTTCTACTCCCAGCCTGTAGCGAGCCCCTGGGCATGACAAATCCTCAGGCCCAGTACCCACAGGGTGAGGCTAAGACCCCCCTCCGGGATCCTGTTACCCCTCTCGAGCCCCTTCAACAGAGGCCCCCTGGCTCTAGCACACCAGGATTTGGTGGGTGAGTCTGTGTTCACCCTCTCTACATCCACCACCCTCTTACAGACCAAGTCACATGTTCTGTGTATGTCCCTGCGAGATCTCAGATAACACAACTGACTTACAGAGGGGGCCACGGGTGTTCTGCAACTATCAGGAAGAGAGCAGGGCAGGGTGGGAGAAGGATGGGGGGAGGGAGCAGGGCAGGGAGAGAGCAAGTCAGGGGGCGGTAAGGGGGAGCAGGGCAGCGGGGAAAGGGGACCAAGGCAGGGAGGGAGCAGGTCATAAGCGGAGAAGGGAGGGCGGCAGGGGACAGCGCAGAGGGAGAAAGAGGAGGATGAAGGGGGCAGGTCCGGGGAGCAGGTGACCCTCCCGCCTGGGCGTGAGCACGTCCGGTTGGGAAAGGGGTGTCCCCACGGAAACCACGGCCAGAGGCTGAAAGGTCTGCCGCCCCCGGGGCAGACCCGCGCGGGTCCCACATCGCCTCGCCGGTGGGAGCGCACTGCCCAGCACCAGCCCGGAAGGCGAGCCCACCGGCCAAGCGCGGCGTGGAGGCGGCGGAGCCAGGTGGGGCGAGGGCCCCGGGTCACCCGCCCCGCTCAGGAGGTCGCGGGGGCCGCGCACACCCCCCGGACGCTCGGCCGGCTTCCGGCTGCCCCAACAAAGGCTCAGGTGAGGGTCGCCCTACGCGCACGAGGACGGTGGGCCCAAGAGCACGACGCGCACGCGGCAGGTGCGGCAGGTGCGGCAGGTGGGCGGCGGGGCCGCCTCCAACCCGGCCCGAGCCCGGCGGAGGCGCCGCACCTGCCCGCCGCGCGCACCTGCCGCACCTGCCGCCCCCGCCGCCCGCACCCGTCCCCGGCCCCCCGGCCCCCGGCCCCCCGGCCCGCTCACCTCCTCCTGGCCCGGCCCGGCCTCTTGCCGCCGCGGCCCCCGGCCCGCGCCGCTCCATGCGCTCAGCCCGCCCTCCGCGCCGCCCGCCGCCCCGGGGCCGCTGCCGCCGCCGCCCGCGCCATCGCGCCGCCGCCCGCTCCGAGGGCACAATGGAGCCACCGCGCCGCTCATGCATATGCATTACGCCGCGCGCCAGCCCCGCCCCCAGGCCAGAGCAGTGGAGCCCCGAGCCGGAGTCGTGCGTGCTCGGGGCGGCCGCGGGCTTGCGCAGGCCGGAACGGCAGGCCCGGGCCGGCCGGGGGCAGGCAGGCAGCGCGGGCGGCGGGGAACCACCACCCGCGCCCTCCGCCCCCTCCACACCTTTCCGAACGCCGCGTCTGCGGAGCCCCCTGCGCTTCCTGCTCGCTAGCCGCCGGGGCGTGGCCTGATGGAAGGGCGGGGCCAAATGGAGCGGCGGGGGCGGGCGGCGGCGGCCGGGCCAGCCGATGGGCGGGGCCTGTCAGAAGAGGGTGTCAGAGCCTGGTGGAAGCCGCCCGGTCGGAGGCGGGGCCTGGCGGAGGGCGGAGTCCGTCAGAGTGGGGCCGGCCAGAGGGGCGGGACCTTCGGAAGGGGGCGGTCGCAGGGGGCGGGGCCTGACGGGGGCGGGACCTGTCCGAGGGAGGCCGGCCGGAGGGGCGGGGCCTCTGGAGGGGGCGGGGCCCGGAGGGAAAGCTGGGCGGAAGGTCGCTGCCGCGGGGCCTCAGAGTCGCGGCTCAGCCGTAGCGGTGGAGGCGTCCTGTCTGCCCCGCCGACCCCTTCTCGCCCGGTCAGCTGTCCCGTGCGCTCCTGCCGCCGGTTCAGGGAGGCCGCGCTCGGCCTGTGTGGTCTCTGGTCGCGGGCACGGGACGGGGCGCGTCTCGGGCGCAGCGGGGCCGCGGCACCGGCCGCCCTCACCGCTGTCTGGGTCGCCTCGGGCCTGTGCCTTCGGGCTCGGCTCCCAGCCGGGGGTCCCGCAGCGCTCGTCCTGGGACGGCCCGTGTCCTCGAGTTCCGCGCACGTGCGGCGGGGCCGGGGCTGCGTCCTCCTCCAGGCTGCCGACACTGTCCGGCGGGTGGGCCGCGCCTGCTGCGTCCGCTGTCCTTTCGGGGCTCGCCAGGGTTTTCGGCACTGCGGACATGTCTCCCCTAAGAACGGCTGGTCCTGTGCTCTGTTGCTCTGAGAGCCGTCCGCTCGCTGGGTATGGGGCCTGCTGTGTGCCAGGCTCTGGTCTGGGCTCTGAGCCCTGCTCCCGGCCTCAGCCCCAGCGGAGGCACGAGAAGTTGCAGTGTGTCCTTGGGGGACAGGGTAAGGACGACAAAGAAAACAAGGCCAGAGGGCGGGGCGAGTGTAGGCTGGGGGAAGGCTCTATGGAGAGCTGGCCCGCATGAAGCGGGGAGCAGGAACCGCGGGACCCTGACGCTCTTCTGCCTCCGGGAGGCCAGGAGTGGCTTCATGAAGGTCCAGGGCCTGGGACTGGCAGGCGGCTCTGCCCTCTCCCCAGTGTGACCGCCGCCCCAGGGACCCTCCGAGATGCCGTTTGGTGTCAGCCTCTTCTACAGTGTTTTCATCTTTGACCATACGGACCGTTAGAAAAGTCTCCCCTGTTTACTGGGGAAATATGCCTTCCTAAAGCCTTCCAGGACTGCATAGAATGGGAAGCCTCCCTTTGCTATCTGACAGCTGCGTCTGCAAGCATGAGATGGAACTTCCCACCCCTTGAACCTCCCGCTGGAGAAACGCGGGCCCACTCCCTTAAGTGCCAACAGAACGCGTGAGCGTGGGACTCCGTTCCTGTGGGCTGTCTCCTGGTGCACGGCAGCTGGACAAAATCCTTTTTATTTTTATTTATTTATTTATCTTTTTTTTTAGATTTTATTTATTTATTTGACAGACAGAGATCACAAGTAGGCAGAGGCAGGGGGAGAGAGAGGGGGAAGCAGGCTCCCTGCTGAGCAGAGAGCCCGATGCGATGCGGGGCTCCATCCCAGGACCCTGAGATCATGACCTGAGCCGAAGGCAGAGGCTTTAACCCACTGAGCCACCCAGGCACCCCCAAAATCCTTTTTAAAATGTGACATCAGAGAGGACATGATACTCTGAATGTGACCAAAACCTGCACTTGGTTGTCACCTTAGACACTCAGTTATTACGAACGGCTGCTAAGCACCCACAGTTTTCTCGCTTCTTGACTTGCAGAACTAGCTTGAGAAAGAGAAAGCAGCCACTTCTTTGCCTACAGGTGTTCTTCTGTGGAAAATACAGAGGAACTTTCATAATCAGTCGTGACCTTTCATCATCCAAGTGTTGAGTTTTAATCCCTGTTCATTTTTTGGTCTCTTTTCTCCCAAGTGCTTCTCCGCGTACGGTTGCAGTTTGGAGGTTACAGCCTAATGCGTGACTTCGTACCCTTACTCCTTCGCTCCATCCACATAAATGTGTCCTTTCTTATAACGCATCCTCCGAAATAAACGTGAAGACTATGGGCAAGGACGTTTGCCGTAGCCTTACATGGGCTATTGAAAATCTAGACTCAAGCTGTGTTCGTTCCTTCAAACTCTCTGTCGAGCTTCTGCCAGATACTGTTGTCATGGAAAACACGGCAGCCGGCAGAACTGCACAGAAGTCCTGGCGGCCCAGAGCTTCCACCAGTAGCTCATAGCTCTACCGTCGTGGGTAACACGGCTGTCACATACCTCCATGGGCTGGAAACCCAGTCAGATCGCGTCTGGAGAGGTGTTTAATGGTATGAGAAGACTTTCCCGACTTGCTAAGTGAAAAACAGGATACAAAGTTGCATGATGCCAACATAGTTTCTTTTCTTTTTTTTTTTTTTTTAAAGTTTTTTTTTTTTTTTTTTGAGAGAAATCAGGAGGGGGGGGGGGAGGTGGGGGGGGGGGGGGGGGGGGGGGGGGGAAGCAGGTTCCCCGCTGAGCAGGAAGCCGGACGTGGGGCTCGATCCCAGGACCGTGAGATTATGACCTGAGCTGAAGGCAGACGCTTCACCCACTGAGCCCCCCAGGCACCCAGCCAGCAAATGAAGTTTCTAAAAAACCCCCCAAAACAAAAAACCCAACAACAAAATACATTTATTGAGTATAAGCTCTTCCTCCAGGCCACTAATTAACTTGTCAGGAGTGGAGGAAAGTACCTTTACGAAAGATGTGGGTCAGGCACCACCTTAACCAAAGGACCAAGTCAGCCTCACTGAGCATGGGTGCAGCTGACATCCGTGCCCTTGGTGACATGGTGAGAGAAAGGACAGAGACCCCCACTCCCAGTCCCGGTGGCAGTGACAACAGGAAATGTTTCACCTGGATCTAATCACAACAAGTCCACACAGAGTCAGCCTCCAGGGCTGGCCTGGACTCAGAAAACTCCAGAAGACCAGCCTGGTTGGAAATGGTCAGAGGAGACCAGAGAGCTGGAACACTGGGTGGGGACTGGGCCACGCCCCAGGCCTGGTCAGTGCTGTGCTAACGCAGCCTGGGGGTGGGTGCCCAAGGGTGACACTGGGGCTGCTTGGGGGAGTGCCCTGTTCTCTGGAGGCCGTCCGGGAGCAGGCTGCCCGGGGGCAGCACCTCGGACGGGCCGCCAGGGCTCCCGTGGGTACACCGAGCCCGCAAAGCATGCATGGCTGGAAATACAGGCTGAGTCTTTTCAAAGGTATGAAGAAATGGCATGAAGGATATGTTATCTGTAACTTCGGTAAAACGATGTAAAATTCTTTTTTTTTTTTTTTTTAAAGATTTCATTTAATTATTTAACAGACAGAGATCACAAGTAGGCAGAGAGGCAGGTGGCGGGGGGGGAAGCAGTCTCCCCACTGAGCAGAGAGCCCAATGCAGGGCTCGATCCCAGGACCCCGGCATCCCAGGACCCTGGCATCCCAGGACCCTGGCATCCCAGGACCCTGACCTGAGCCGAAGGCAGAGGCTTTAACCCACTGAACCACCCAGGCGCCCCACGATGTAAAATTCTTTGCAACACTGTGGATCACCGCCTCCTTCAGAGGCGTGTTATGATCCACGTCATAGGCGATAGGGAGCCCAGCAGGGCCTTCGTGGGGCTGCAAGGTTGTGCCCAGGGGCCACGCCAGGAGCCCCTGTCAGATGTGGGCTGACCCACCCCAGGCCCCATCCACCCAGGCCTCACCCCAGACCCTACCCCCAGGTTTAGTAAATTGTATTAGCTCTTATTTTTATTTTTTTAAAGCTTTTAGTTATTTATTTGAGAGAGACAGAGAGAGAGAAAACGTGTGTGGGGAGGAGGGGCAGAGGGAGAGGGATGCTGACCTGAGCCGAAGGTAGTCGCTTAACTGACCGAGCCATCCAGGTGCCCCCGTATTAGTTTTTATTTTTATTTTTAAAAAAGATTTTATTTATTTATTTGACAGAGAGAGACAGCGAGAGAGGGAACACAAGCAGGGAGCGGGAAGGGGAGAAGCAGGCTTCCTGCTGAGCAGGGAGCCCGACTCAGGGCTCAAGCCCTGGACCCTGGGATCATGACCTGAGCCGAAGGCAGACGCTTCACTGACTGAGCCACCCGGGCGTCCCTGTGTTAATTTTTGAATAAAGAGTGTAAATGACTGGTCCAACTTCATTTTTTCTTATTGGAATCAGTTGTCCCAGCACCATTCGTTGAAAACAGTCTTCTTCCCTCATTGAATGGTCTTGATGCCTGTGCGGAAAATCAGTGGAGCATCAGGGGAGGAGTATTTCTGGGCTGTCAGTCCTACTCCATCGGTCTCCACGTCGGTCCTCATGCCGGCACTCACTGACCTCGTTGTGGCTGCACCGTAGGTTTTGAACTGGGGAAGTGTGAGCCCTCCAACTGTTTTCCTTCTGCAAGGTTGGTTTGGATATTCTGGGTCTCTTGAAGTTCTGTGTGAATTTTAGAATCAACTTGCCAGTTTTTACAGAAAAGTGTGGGACTTTGATGGGGATTATGTTGAATCTGTAGATCAGGGTTTTTTTTTTTAAAGATTTTATTCATTTATTTGACAGAGATCACAAGTAGGCAGAGAGGCAGGCCGGGGTGGGAGGGA